CCAGCTTTGGCTGTATCTATATGCCAAACTCAGACAGTCGCCTTCCTGCATTCAACTACCTCATAAATTCTTTCTTCTGTTCAGCCATCCAAACACTGGAACATAAATTGGCCTAGAAAGATAAAAAAAATCTCAACAACTCTATAGGGATATTGGTTTAAATCGGACGACTAAACACAGCCTACTGATCGGAAGTGCGGACAAAAGTTATAGCTGTAATGTTGAATGGCGAACTTTGTCTGGTCGTATGGAAATTTCCTATATTTGTATATTAATAAACAATCGTCTTATCATAATAAAATAAAATAGGCATCAACAACATCTCTACAATCAACGCTACGTTAATTCAAAAATAAAGATGGGGCGAGATCGACGCGGGAAGATTCTTATCATCGCAACAGTATATACAGATACACTATCTAAATTAGCCTGCCTAAAGTCTGTGTATTTCCCTGAAGACGTAGAAGTTACAGACGGTTCAGCTAGAAAGGAAAATTTAATAGCTTACAGATGATGTATATGAAGATACCGTGGTACCATAGAGTATTAATAAACGGCACCATATCTTCTAGAATAACATCTTCCTATACATTTTATGATTCCTGTTTCTATTGCCTTTTCTTAATTCTTGGACTGTTGTAAGGTGGGATTGACAGCTCCTGGACAAAAATGGATCCCCCGTGAATTGCCAGGAATGAGAAATTTCGTCTCAATTATACATGTGCTGCAGTAAATTTCTTAATATCTCAAGTGAACAGATTTATATACGGCTGTATGAATTATTCATAGTTTGGCGTTAAATTTCTCTCTCTAGATAGCTTTATTATAGTTTTAGATCACGATCTTCAGTTAATCAGGTTGAATTTGTATAATGCGGAAAGTCTTGAACCTCAAAGGTAACATTACCTAAATGTTGTTCCTGCAATATGTAATGTAAAAACTAAGAGCGGTGTAAAGATAAGGACAATATAACCACATACATTGTCAAAGTAGTGTATAAAACGTATTTAAAACTATGTTTAATCTCTTGAAGAATGTATTTAATACGTTTTAGACAATGAATGACATGGAGTCTAACGTCCTAATGAAGATAGACGTTTTAGACAGACGCCCTTCTTCGTTCAACATATACCCCGAAATATACCTCTCTTGCTAATGGTCAGTTCCCGAATTTTATAATTGAGAGTGTGGACATAAAAATAATAGGCATCATAGAATAGAAATTTGAAATTTAATATGGATACGATCATGCCAATTATACTAGGACATTGTTACAGTCGCCTGGACCAGTCTCCATATAAAAGAACAGGTAAAGAAACGAGTAGTGTGGGGCCCACTCGAAAACTGGTGCCGACTTTCTGCTTAGAGGAGGAAAGTAGATTTCTGAGATAGCCTACTTGTACACAATTGACCGGTTTATAGAATGGTGTCACAAAGTTATCCGTGACTGGGGTTGCCAGGGCAGTAACAGTAAAATAATGACCATCTACGGTTGCCGGGAAAGTTTCGCTATTAAGAAGGTTTATAGCCCTGCTAATTGCCAGGGTTTTGTCTCGAACGTATTTCTCTCTGTAATTAAGACAATTCAAACAAAAATGTAGATCAGGTATATATGCACTCTCCGGCGCATGCCCAATGCCCACCGAAGTCGGCGTTTTTTTAAGCCGATCTGTTCAGATAGTCATAAAAATCCCTTCTCGAAGAAAGGCAGCGGGCTGCGTTTTTGTATCTGGCTTTAGTGCCCAGCTTTGCATTCAGGCGCGAAATTTAAGCTGGCTTTAAGATTGCCGGAGTTTTTAAAACCAGTTTAAAACTGCGTGTTATGCAATCTCAGAGACGTCACCTAAATGTTAGACAAATATGAAAATTAAAAAAAAAACAAACAAGAAGCCGGTGTTTTTAGCCGCGGTTTCGAGTGGAAAAGGTGAATTTATTTCCATTTTGGACATTAATCTCAGACTAGTGATTTTTCTTTTTTATTGTCGCTTTGTCTTATAAAATAATATAGCTGGCCGCATGTATATAACAGTGCGGCTAGTTTATAATCATAGACTACATGACTCAAGTTTCATTCTTAATAAGTATAGATGCGACAAGTAATTCATTGTTAAATTTCATGTAAATGATTTAGCGGAAAACTTCTTGATACAGGAAAGAGCGGGTGATGATGTATGTAAATATTTCCTGTACGAGTGACCTACTCTATGAATATGAATATTTTGAACCTCAATGGCATTTAGCTTTACATTAATATTAGGATAAGATATGCAACTTTCAAATGTCGCCTGTAATTGACTCAGTATTAACATGTAAATGATTATGTAAACAAATGAACAATTCTTCTTCATGATTGTTGACTTATTGTTATTGTTATGACTATCGTTATGATGTTACACGTGTTTTCGCTTTCTGTACAAAAAATGACACTGACTGACACTTCAAAATGTGCACTTCATATGCAACGTCAGGAAAATTCTTCCTTTTGTCCCTGACGTTAACTTTAATTAATTTGACCGGTCGTTCGATTAATTTCCTGATCTTTAAATCTGTCTTAAAACATCCCCCGTCCATTAAATGCCAACTTTTCTTTTAATTCATATTCTCTTCTAATCATTCTAATCTTACTTAGTTTACCGTAATAACCAACTCTTGATTACCTCTTATAACCACCATGCTTTCTAACCAGAAAAACAATTACACATTATTTTCTTTAGTTTTTTATTCATTAATAATTACATCAAAAATCGATAGTTTTGGGGGGTTTTTTTACTAACATGTTGTAAATGTTATAGAATTGTTTTGGTATAATTAACATTTATACAGGACATTAAAATACGTAGTGTATGTCATTTTGTAATTTTCTTCTTCAAGAAAGACATTGATTTCAGGGGCGGATCCTATTAATTCATACTAAATATTGACGTCAAATGGAGTATTGGATTTCTCTTTTTATAAAGCTCAGTGTGTATGCATGCCTACGTAATATGAAGACGATGATGGCATCATGCATTGTCAACTGTCAAATTTCCTTTACAGGTACTTGGCAAACCCCCTCCTGCAAAAATTCCTTGATCCGCCCCTGGGTTTGTTCTGTTTTGATTTTTTTTTACTCTGCTTTAATATTTCAAAGACGTCTGATTTTTTCTTTTCCAAAAGTAGATTATTAATGAATTAAAGATAACAGAAGCAGTTTGAGAGAGAGACAGGTGGATATTTCAATAACTCCCTTGCGCGCATAGATCATTAATCTCAAAATGACCCGTGCAATGTATTGATGCTATTTTAACCCCCTTAGTATTCCTATATTTATGACAGGGGAGAGTAGTATTTTCTGTAATGACTTAACAACTGTAATATTGTGGTATTTTATGCCACGGAGAACCGAAACTATGCAAATAGGAATATTATCCATCATATCGGTTCACATAGCACGACATCATTTATAAGAGAAAGACAGATTTATAGCTCATTATCCTATTATATCATTAAAAGGTGCCACCTGTGTGTACTTTAGTATCATTCTCGTGTTTCTATTTCCAATACCGCTCTGGGATGATTACCCAGCTTAGATCAGATATGATGGACCCGGTCATAGCCCAAAAGAATAATATACGGAGTATAGCTAATAATGTTAATTCTATATTTTATAGTCTCGGTTAGTTTGTTTAAAATACCCTTATCCGTGTATATAATGAGAATGGCAGTATAATTAAAGACAGAAATGGGATGAGAGATTAACTTCTGGTCAACACAATACTTCAGTCACTTTGCCATTTATATATATTTTTATGGTAATGCGTTAGTTGGGGAAATGGGGTTACTTTTGCCAGATAGAGACATTTCCTAATCAGGGGTCTTTACTTGCAATTTCGTCTCTTTCGAACTATTAGACGCACTTTCTTTGCCCTTTGCGCAAATGGGAATAATACCTGGAAAATCCACATTAAGACAATCGAACTAGAGGTATACTACTTGTGAAACAACAATCTTAGCCACACAATCACAACGATCCCGAAAGCATTGAAGAATGAAATTAAGAAGATATCGGAGTGATGATTCTGTTGATTTAAAACTGCGGCCCTCCTTAATAAATCAAACCAATTACAAAGATAGATATCTCTTGACCAAAGTATACATGTAGCATTAAGTTTTAATTGTTGGCTACATCTACACCACAGCTTCTTCCGTAAGCACCTGGTGCCATCACTCCAATCCACTCGACTCGACTCCACTCACGCGTCTTTTCTTAATGTATGTTTTTCAGTTTAAAACATGGGTATAACGGCTACTTACAAGTCTGATTGTCATGTAGTCTTTCTCCGGCGGAAGAAAGACAGTAGGCGATGATCACTGTATCTTTTAAGAGGGTTTGCGATATAAGAATGACTATTGTTTATTTAATTAGATCACTTAAACTTAAATCGCCAAGTCAAGATTTACACTTAACACTGAACATTTATGCTGTAAAGATCTATCCCGTGGTTGGATTGTCCCGTCAAAACTTTACTTAGGACAAATAAGTACAATGCAAGGGAATGTTTGCCTGTCACCGGTGTTTCCACCTACTCTTGTACGAATTCCAACTGATGACGAGAAACGCCTGTTGGGTTGTCTAGGAAAGTACTGATAGAATTTGAAGAAAAACGGCCGAAAACTCAGATGTCCAGGCAATATCTTCTCCCTGGCTTTGCACACAAAATCATAGAAATAATTTAATTTTTCTACGATATGGTCTCAAAATGACCTAGGTTGGGGATGAGGGGCTGTTACCGCACCCTTTCCAAATAAAACACACCGTAATAAATATTGAAAGGTTTTTGTTTCGAAACCAACAAACTCCCAAAACGTTGTCAATAATTTATAGGGATTAAGTGTTTTCTATAAAAGTAAAATGGGTCGATGATTCAATAATTATCGTTATTTGACACAACTACCCAAAATCAATTTACCGTTGACCTAATAATGTTTATTTGACTAGTTACCATTTGACTTTATTTCAGAAAACTCAAGTAGACTACCAATGGTTCTTAGTTTTTAGTGGATGATTTCTGAACGAAGCACGAAAGGGTGAATCATACCTACTAAGTACCAAGTTCCGCTAAGCTTTTCAGAAACAAGCTATAGAAAATTGAATGAGTTACTGAAAGTGAGCGGTGTTCGATACACGATTCTAATAGCTTGTCTCCCTTGTACGGTTGATATTACTCTGGCTCGAGAGCGGTTCGTGTATAGTAGCGCGCGACAGCTGATGGTGGTGCCATTATTCGATATTTGGATTACAAGACAAAAGGTTCGTACATTTTACCATACCATTTGAGAGATGTGTGTTCATTGTCGGACTTCTTATAGAAATTTGTGCCAGACATACATGGTTTGGAAGTAACAGTTTATCCTTTTCTTCTATTTGACAGCACGCACACGATTATCTCGTGCAAGCTAACAGATAGCGTTTTATAAAGGTATAGTTATATAGTTTGAGTAGTTTGGGGAATAACGGTTTCTCTGACAGCAAACAAAGCGGTGAAGTTATTGGGGCTTATTGTTATATTTTTAGAATTCACGTTCAATAATTGATTGAGATGTTCTGACAACTAGTTAGAATATTAACAAGACTTAACAGTCTGCATGTCAACTCTGTACGTCAGTAATTGAAATAATGCTATAATGTTTTTTCACGGTTGAAATTGTTATTGGTGTGATAACCTTCCATTCATCATGTACCCTATAATATGAAATACTTGACAATCATTATGGACCATATAATCACTTCGCTTATCGTTGTAGAAAATAATAAGTTTATATTAACAGCATTGTTGTTCAGAAGATAAGGTTTACTGGTAGAGTTCTATTATCTCCGCCAGTAGTGCTACAGTGTTTCAAAATTTAAAGGGATGTTCAGAAGTAAATTAAGATTGCCAGTTCTCATTATTGTATTTGGGTAACTTTGGTTCTATGCTTTGTGAACTGTTTGGTCAAGATAATGAATAGGGCTTTAGATATGACATTAATATTTTTTTAATGAATTATTGTCTAAGATGCACATTCACTGGACAATGAAAGAATTTTGATTGATACTACAATTTATTCAGATTGCTTATAGCATCATTGTGAAACTTCAGAATTTGTACACTAATTATTTCTTGATTAAAAATGAAGTTTGATTTGATTTTGAATGGATTTTCTTGGCAACAGCTTAATCTACTTTACATGTTTGTATTTTTAATGTGTATATGATTGTAGACCTAAAGCTATAGTAGACAGAACACTTGAATTTTAAAATCTACCAAAAAACTGAAAGCTTAGATATATTTACTGTAAAATAAACTTTAGAATTTATATTTTTTAATTTGAATATTTAGTCAGTAAGCATGCTGATAAAATATAAATTTAGCGAATTATGTTATTGGAATATAATTTTAGCATTAATAAATAAGTCCACTTGAAAGTTAATCCATACAAACTATTTTAAAATCCTTTTCTTGGTATGATCAAGGTTTAAAAGTTATTAATCTTTATATAAGTGAGTGAATTTAGTATTTATATATTATTGAAACACTAAGCCATGCTCAAAATGCTCCATTTTTTAGAAATCAATCAACCACATGCATTTGAAGTGACATGATATAATAATCAGAAAACTTAATGTAATGATCGATAAAATTCTAATGATTAAATGGTATAATTGGCAAATCAAGGTTGAAAAATGAACATTCAAATGGAAGAAAACACATCAAATTGATGTCAAGAGATGTCTAGGACTCTTATTATGTTATTTGATACAGCTCTGTTCAAATTTGATGATTGCATTAATGTTTGCACTCCATCCCATCAACTAATCACTTCAACTCCATGATTCAAGTATGAATATTAAATATTTATGGGTTATTTGCCAGTGTTATACAAATCAATTACAGAACTTGAATTTATTCCATAAACTTTATGTATAGTTTGATGAATATAATAAATACCAAATATGAATTTATAACCCAAATCATTTATGTTCATCAAATACACTATTAATAAAATCATTAACACAATATAATTTACAATCACCCTATGTATACAATATTTTATAGATAATAATAATATATGCAATATTAATAATTCATCTGAATTATCTGAAGAAATTGAATATTCAATAATATTTTATTGGTAATTGGGAAAATGTATGCCTCTTAATGTTGTAATATGGAGAAGAGTAGACTTTTGAAATGTTTCTTAAAAATACTATTTCAGAATTAAGTTGTGATATCAAATTATTATAAATTAGTCAGAAATTGGTTTGTCACGCCAGGTTCCGAAAGCTTGTACAGGGTTAAGTTTTTGGTGCTGTAAAGAGTGTGTGGCTATTTGTAAATGTACATGTTGTAATATGGAGAAGATTATGGCTGAGTGTTGTGGTATTTATTTCATGCAGAATTTGCATTTGCATCTAATGTCATTTACTCAGACATTTAATTTTGAAACTAAGTTAATGTTTAATTCATGTTCCTGTTCTCTTTACACCAGATGAAAATAATGTCAGTAATTTTGCAAGTCCAGGTACATTAAAGTGATTATTATTATTATTATTATCAGAAATGATGGATTACATGTGTACCAGAAGATACTTTTAATGTAGAAAGCAGAATTACAGGAACTTCAGGAAGATATATAAATAAGATAGTGGGTGTTAATTCTAGAAGGGTTTAGTTGTAAATTCTCACCTTAAGTCAAAGGTTAAGATGTAACCAGTCAAGTTTCTTGTTTTGAAGTGTTAGAGTAATGAGTTTTCAGGATAACTAACATATTATTAATGTAGTTGCCCACCTAAAGTCATTTGTTCAATGATACTAGCATTCCCAATGACTAAACCTGGGTTAAAAAAAACATATGTTTGAAGATAAAGCCAAGGTGTAACAGAAAAATTTTTGATAAATATTCGACACATGAAAACACTTAAATACATGAAAATGGTGAGAAATTTTCTGCTATGATCGGCTGACAACCAATCACCAACATCCCTTCCTATGTTAAAAAAGGCCCCTGTGGATTGTTCAAATTTACCCTGTAAGGTGAACCTCACTAATAGCTCTGAACATTTCAATTAGAACTGACATTACTACATTTGTGATAAAGCCTCTGCACAGTTCAAGTTCTCTCCCCACTGCATGGTTTACATAATACAAATGTGGAAATGACCGGTTCTTGATACCACAACTCTTTATAATCAAATTCAGTTTACCATGACCGTTATTAAATGTATTGTCAAACTATCATGATTTGTACATTAGAATTCCGTTAGAAGCAACAAGACTAGAAAATTAGAATTTAATGAGCAATGGTTGCATTTCGTTTTAATTTAATCTCTTAACCAGAGAATGATCAAAGAATAATTTTATTGCCATTTCCTATCAGTGAAGGGTTTTCTGTAATTTCCAAACACTGAAAAAAATATATTGATTGACAAAATATGAACTGGTCGATTGATTACGGCTCGTTTTCAGCAACATCATCATGATGACAATAGATTTCTCCACTTTATATCATCTGAGGTTTCATTATATTTTTAATCCAATGGCATGGTCTCGATTTTTTTTCTGTCGATACTGTCTCTGCTTGGACCACAACAGATATTAGTCTGGACGAATCCTTGCTACACCACTGCACCCATTGCATTTACTTTTTGCAAGTACCTTATATATGTTACTCTTGTGGTTTGCGTAACTTAAAAAGCACAAAGAGGTATTGGCAATTCAGAGGTCCACACATACCCATAAGAAACAATTCTGATTCAAAGTAATTTGACTAGTTGTGTATTCAGAATTGATGCCATGTTTCTTCATCCTCTATTCATCCAATGTTTATCTTGAATTTTGTAGTCAAATCTGATTAAATCTCAAATTTCTTTTTTTTTTATTCTTAGGATTCAGATTAAATAAACAGCAACCAAATTCTTTTGTCTCTGTGTTATGTTTAGTTTTCAAAGCTTTATGCCTCTGCCTTTTTATGTGTGAGTTTATTACTATTATTACCAGGAAATATGTAAACAAATTGCCACATTTAATGATTATATTTAGCTGATATTAGCCTCTAAAAGCAGTCCTCATGTAAATGTATACACATATAAGAGCTATATTGATCTAATATAAAAGGTGAAATAAGCAATAATAGCATGTGAATAATGGCTTACTTGACTGTATCCATAGTATTGAATAAATAAAATGAATTATTAGAATAGCCTATATTTTATACAGTGATTTCACAAAACAATAATGATTGAATGCATTTTATATGATATTGATATATATTCCTTGTAAAAGATAATTAATTGTACAATCAATATGTATTTTTTTGGTTTAATTGGTATTATATAGACAATCAAATGGAAATATACACTGAGAGTAATTTGAAATAATACTGTTAAATTGGTTTATTAACAGAAATTTAAAATCATTTAAAGGGAAATTCTTATCAATGATCAAGTTAACCTTAGGGAATTTATTTGAATTTAGTTAAATTAATTTTTATCTCATTAGATTTTTTTTCAGTTTTATCTCCAAAGAAGGGTGAATACCTAATTGTCAATTCTGTCCAGTCAAAACTAAAAAAAAATGAACATAAAGGCCTCTTCTGGATTATGTAAGCCTGTTACACATTTTGGTTGATCACTTCTAACAGCTCAATAAAATCAAAGAAAATAATATCTTTGCATTTGATTTGGATATTTAAATACACCTGTATCAAGGTGTAAATTGTGCACTCTTTGACTGCTTTCTTTAGGAATCCTGATAGTAAGGATTTTAGCTTACATTGAGTTACTAACAATAATTTCTCCCTATGTTTTAGTCACCATGGAGCTTTGGAATAATTTCATGTACTACAGTAAGGCACTGGTATAAAATAACAAAAGTAATGATTTTTCTCAGCTTGCATTTTATTAATCTAAGTCAAACAATTCCCTAGACTGTCATTTTTCATTCTACATAATGTAATGACATTTTGTGTTAAAAGTATTGGTAACATTTGAAATTCTATCTATTTATGTAGGGCTTGCTGTTGTCAAAAATTAACATAACATATAAAATCCATTATGAAATTAAATAACCATTGTTCGAAATGTGATGGACCACCAGAGAACCTGTAATAGATGATATCTTGGTATTAAAAATATTAATGTTCCCATCCACCAAGTTTTAACATTTATTATCATCTAAAAATCTAATATTACATGCAACTGAGATTATTGTGGACTTTTTACTGTGCTTTTTTTTTTATCAGAATTAGGAAATGCCATTAAATTTAAAGTGA